GTGTAAGAGAGTAATAGTTCAGACCGCGGGGTCTCCTTTGGCCGCTACGCGACCCTTCTACTGGCTGGCGTTTTGCGCCTTTCAAAGGCCTACTCATGACAGTAAAAAAAACCTGGATCATTCTTCGGAAATTCGCGGTCACCTGGCTCGTTTTGGATTATTACCCGCTGTTTGCCAGAATATCATGGAAAACGGCCAGGGACATCTTTAGAACTATCCCGGATAACAAATGAATGATGCGTCTTGTCTAAATGATGATGACCTGAGCTAGAAATTGAATATGTTAATTTTGAATAACTACATTATGGTATTTCCGAATCAGCATCCTCTGCATATGTAAAAGAAATAGCAAAATTTGCTATATTCGATAGACTTTAAACACAAAACAATAAGTAGCTCACTGATGGAAAAAGTACTCGGGAAGTATCGAGGAAGCCTTGCAACAGTCAAACTGTGTACTGTTCACCTGGAGAATTTTATTTCTACTATGTCAAGAACAAGACAGCAGTATGCAACCTTTTGGGACCTTTCGGCGAAAAAAGAACCTAGGTGCCGTGAACTCGAATTGAGATACCATAGCTCGGTGATTAAAATAGTATTGAAAGATGAAAAGAAAGAGGAAGAGGTTAAAAAGGAGGTGGTAAAATATGCAGGAAGAAGGAGAAGAAGATGAAGTAGTAGTGGTGAAAAAGAACTTTTATATAGCTCCCAAGTGACTTAGGTGGCAGTACATAGCGATTACGAGTGCATGGGAACAAACACTTGCTTGCAACTGCATTGGAGTGTTGCGTATGTTGCCTATCTACTAATTGAAGGGGCTTGCTTATTGAAATTTATTCTAATGTAATTGAGCTAAATGTAAGTTGAAATTTTTCTTTGCAATGTGAATTGCCTATCATTCTAATACATGAACTAATCGTTCAAAACCGGCGTTTATGAAACAAATGACGTAAAAATATTGCAATTTCACGGTGAAAAATATTTACTTATGATGTATCATAACACTGCGACTTTATTCATAATTATTTTTGCACTTGAAAGATTGAGAAAAGGAAATAAAATCGGCAAATGTGGTCACAGTTCCAGAAGTCGACGATAGAAAATTCATTCTGTTACGTCTGCGTTTGAGGTCATTCTTCGTGAACCGAGCCGGCGCGGCGCGCGGCGTAGCCGTTTCCGAGGTAGACATTGCGGTGGACATGAGGCCCACGGGGGACCCTTAGGGGGCCCACGAGGTTCGAGCCGGGGGTGTTCGTCTTGACGAGGACAGCGGCTCACGAGCACGACATCTCGCTCATCCGCGTGGGATGCACTCCAAGTTCATTAACAGCTCATACTTAGACTATAAAAACATTTACGAGCCGGCTAACCGTCATGCAACAGATCAACAAAGAGAGCAAAGCTTGGATCAAGGCAGAGAAAATTAATCCTCGCGTCGAAGGTATACGTGCCTTCGTCTATGGACTCTTCGTCGGAATTGACGGATTCGGTTTCGAAAAATCCCAAGTCAAGGCAATGGGTCTGTTGCGCTTGTCGCAGAATCGTGTTTTGGTGTTTGATTCTTGTGGATCAGGTAACACCACTCAGAACTGTCCGAACAGCAATTCTCTACGTTCAAAATTAAGCGAGATATTATATTTGGAAAAATTCGTTTTCATCTGATGATTTTTTTTGTTTTGTTAAAAAGTGTAGGTAATTAGTCCAGAAAATCATGCTGAAAATGTGACTTAAACAGTAGCCGAAATGGACTTGGAGTCCCTCCCCCTGTTAAGTGGCTTGATTTAGCAGAATTGGGGTTGACTCCGCTTAAAAGCTCTCTTGAATACATAGATTAGGTATCTTAAAAAAAATTCAATGGAATCACGGGATTAACGATTTTGCAAGTTGGCTACACTGCTTTTCCTCCATTAAATCCATTAAAAATATCGGCTTTAAGGAGGGTTAGCGTCTCGCTAAAAATCGATTGTTTCACATACATTTAAATGGTGGAAAAACAGGGTTGCCACCTTTCAAGAATCGCCACTGAATCACGGTAGCGATTCTTGTTTGAAGAACTCCTGGAGCGCAGCTCTAATTATTCAAATCCTCGCGGAGTTCCAAGTCGGAGACACAGCTCTATCGGGCTCGACTCGGGGGAACAATGTAGCCGCGATATTCCCGGGTCCGAAGACGTTCTCATTGAACAATCCTTGTAGAACAGCGTGTTCTGTTCGCTTCCTCCCCGCGTTTGCTTTTTCCACAACTTATCGGTGGGAAAAAGCGCCTGGGACTCTCCAAACGAGCTATTCTTCCAGTTGCGACACTGCTAAATGCCTCGTTCACCGCTTCTCACACTCCCCGACTCCCAAGTTTCTGGCCTATACGGCGCTTTGCTTATCCCTTGAAGCCCCATGTTCACGGTCTGGTAACGAAACGTAACTCCACCAAACCGAAGGGAAACGCCGTAATATTTTCAGACAGTAGTGGGGCGTGAATGATCGATGATCGATGTTTCTTCATTTAAGCTATGGTAAAGAATCGATTATCAAGGTGTCCGTTATGAACACCCTCTTATTGATCCTTTTCAGCAGGTTTAAATGGAAGATCAATCGATACATCGCACAGCACGCCACGCAACTGCTTTCAGATAAATATTCAATTTTGAGATACGCTATGAGTAGTTTCGCTTAAACTTTTCACAAATGATGAAATTTCGAATAAAGTCTCAAGTTAGTCCGGAAATTGTTTTTTATTAGGGAAAAATTGGCAACGTCCTAAAGCTTACATAGCATTCCTGCTCGGCACCAGTATTTTTTTCTTGCTATCTCATTCGATGGTTATCTCATTCCTTCAAATGTATCCTTCATTCCGTGCTTTCTGGATCGTGGCGGCGAGAAAATATCTCGAAAAACATGTATTATAGTCATTCTGCACGGAGAAAAAAACTTCGTGCATGGGACCCGAAGTTGAGGTCATATGGATCTCTGAAGTTTTCGGACCACGCATCCAAAAACTCGAGGTCCAACTGCCGAAGTTCGGGTCAGACATCTGAAGTACTTAGGTATGTACCGGATACTTCAGATGTGTGACCCGAACCCTTCGGTATGTACCTAAGTACTTCAGATTTCTGACCCGAACTTCGGCAGCTGAATCTAAAGTTTTCGGATGCGAGATCCGAAAACTTCAGAGATCCATAAGACCTCCACTTCGGGTCCCATCCACGAAGTTTTTTTCTCCGTTTGTTTTTATCATTATGCAGTTGCGCCGTTTACTTCTGGATTACCCTGTACACTAAAGCGCGAAGCGTCTTTATGTGTCTCAGAATACAATCGAGCTTTGGCTGATGGACGAAGTCCACAATCATCCATGTGAACAAACCACGGATGTCTAGGGAACGGTTCATCTGGCGCACGCATCGGGGGAATTAGTTTGGGTTAAGTCGGATTGACAGACGTGACCGATCGGAGCTGGAGTCCGGACGGCATTGTTTCAGGCGGGTTTTAGCACCTACCCAGTGCCCAGTGCCCGCTGCCCCTACACTCGACTCCGATTAACGACCGGTCGATCGACTCGACGCCAAGTCCCGTTAGACGGGCTCAGCCGTCGAATTTACCCGCAGCCGATTATGAGAGTAGTGTGCCGCGCGGGTCGGCGAGGTGTGGGCGGCTTCCCCCTGCCCCCCTTCACGCCCCCGTACGGGGCGATACTCCTGAACGGCTACTGATCTGAGGCGGCGCTGCCATATTCAAAATGGATAGCATTAAAAAAAAACAGTCTTATCTATATCTGACTTTTTAAAAGGAGCCTATCGATTTAGTGGATATTGTTAGATTCATAAAAGCTCGGTGTTTTAGTCATGTCGAAAGCATATTGCACATTTTCAAAACTCACGGTAGATATGACTGGTATGCTTACAACGCTATTTGAATAGCAATCCTAAGCTGGTCTCACTATTAGTCTCACGCAGTACTTGATTTGTGGAGAAGCAAATTTTAGTTTATTTTTCTACACACGCGTTAAAGTCTCCGGAATGGTATATTTGCGCTAAAATCTACGTAACGTTACGTGGGTTATGGTTTCTGCGCGGAAGACTGATACTATACCGTCACAAGTTGGGAGCAGACCATGAACTACGGATGACACATTTCATGCTTCTGTTTAAGTTCGACCCCCAGCCCCTGTTGTCAGCGCCGCGTCGTTCTTCCTGCATCCCCCAATTCTATGTGCGTTCCTACCTATCATACGACCTATGAATCTATCCTATTTACCTTTATCATAGAAGCCAATGGAGTACTCAACTCTTGATTAGTGCGAGAGCAAATTTTAGTTTATTTTTCTATACACGCGTTAAAGTCTCCGACATGAAATGTTCGCGCTGAAATCTCCGCGGATCACGGGGAAAAAAAGTATCACAATTCAAACTATACTCTCGGCTGATTTTTGCGTCAGATATAGGAGTAATTGCAACAGTCATAGGTAAGGTTGAGCCTGCCGAAAGTGAGGTTGGACCAACTATACCTCTGGCTAGTGCAACTACTCTTATATCGGACACAAAAATCAGTCAGGAGTATAGTTGGGCTTGCGATACCTTTTTTTTTAGTACAGTGCAGGGGACTGCTACAACTTTTACCAGTTGGGGACTTGCCATAAATTATCTACGCATGGCACTCTTAAGTACATACGTCACTTTATAGCACTCCCTGGCGCTATACGACACCTAACCTCCACTACTGCCTTCTGTCGAATCATAACCCTCTTGGCAACCCTCCATGGCACTCTTTCCGCTTTTATTCCCTCTTCGCAACCCCCATGGTACTCTTTCCGCTTTTATTTCCTCTTCGCAACCCTCATGACACTCTTTCCGCTTTTATTTCCTCGCTCTTTTTCACAACCTCCCATGGCACTCATTCCGCTTTTATTTCCTCTTCGCAACTTCCATGGCACTCTTTCCGATTTTATTTAAGTTCAACACATTCAATGATTTTCCAAGTTACTCCGATAAGAAAAAGAAGAGAAATTACCTGTTGTTTGTCTCCGGGCTGAAGTCATCTTTGCCCTCGCTTCCATACTCGGAGCAGTTGCCTTCGTCGGTGGTGGGGATGCTGTTGAAGAGGTCCTCGTCCTTGCAGCTCCTGCGGCGCCACTCGTCGTCGGCCTCCTTGAGCACGGTCGTCACCTCGGGGCTCAGGCTCCCCCCGAGGGTCTTCATCTCCGGGGCGCGCGCCTGCGCTTTCGCCGCCGCCGCCTCCCGCTCACGCACCAGCGCCAGCTCACGCTCACGCTGCAGCTTGATCTCACGCTCGATCACGCTCTCCTCCGTCGCGCGCTTCGTCGGGCGTGATTCCACCGCTTCCAACAGCTTCTTCGCCACCTTGGAACCGAAAGAATTGAGTGTTATGTTACTCAGTTTTCAAAAAAAGAAAATTGAGGATAAGACGGAGAAAATTTCATTATGCCAGCCATGTTGGCTTAGTGGTCAGCGCGCCTGACTTTAGGTCAATAGGTTCCGGATTTGAATCCTGGTAATGGCCTCAAATTTTCAGGGAACTGACGAGTGGATCTGCAGAAATAAATTCTACTCGGCCTTGATCTCTGAAAATTTGAAAAGCCTTGACTTGATTTTATGAGTTTAAACAGATTTTAAATACTATTTTTAAATTTATATTCATATTCAACAGCGATATATAAATATTGTTATATAAAATTTAACAGATTGTGGATGGTCAATTATAGAGCAGATTCCTCTAGTTAGGTTAAGCTACCGCCAAATTTTTTAAGTTTGAAGATCTTCTTTTACTACTTTAATTATATTAATTCTAAATAGTAGGGTATCTAATCCTAGTTTTTAACAGAAATTTAAATTTGTATTGTTAATACTTTTTAAATTTTAAAAATGTTACTTATTTATGCATAGATGTGCCAATCCTTCGATGTCTACGAACAATTAAATACCGCCTGAAGTTGGCTGAAGGTGCTAGCCCAGCATAGATGAACATAGATAAAGTTCGGCTCAGCTGTGATGACCAGGGAAGTCAGCTCGGGAGTTTCCGTAGCGTCTCGGGCCAGAGCGAGAGATGACATCGTATCTGTCCTTTTTTACAGCTAGAAACACTTGTTTTCCCGGCGGAAGGGACAGTACGCTGATTCAGCATCCCCCACCGCTGGCCCGAGGCGCTCCGGAGGCAACGAAGCTCTCTGGCCGCGACGGAAAATTCAGATTGCGAAGAGCCTCCGCGGGAGTCGGAGCTGGTTTTGGTTGGTTATTTTTCTGGATACGTCGGTTACGTTGGTCTTGTTCGTGTACGTAGGAATTAGTTTATTTTTTTTTATTGGTTAGTGATTTGACGTTTAGTTTGGCCCCTCCTCTTTTTCGTCGTTATTATTCCCGTTCTCTTTTTTTTTATATATATTTTTCTTTGATTTCGAGAGTTTCTTTTTTTTTCTTAGAATACAAGCTTCTTTAGTTCACTTACGAGAAGTCTCTTTTTTTATTGTTCTTTCTGACACCCCCCCCTTTTTTTTCTTCTCTACACTTCCTCCTTTCATTCTTTCTCTTTTGACTAAGGGCAAGAGGCACGGTCTGGCCGTTGTCTTGATTGGTCTGGCCAATCAGCTTTTAGTCCCTTCCTTACTACTCTTATCTATCCACCTTTTCCTTAGGGCAAGAGGTACGGTCTGGCCGTATCTTGACTGGTCTGGCCAGTCAGCCCCAAGGGATTTTTCCATTCTTTCTCTCTTTGAAAGGAGAAAGAGGCGCAGTCTGGCTGTTGTCTCGATTGGTCTGGCCAATCATCCCCTTTCAAAGGTTTCTCCTTCACGACTATCCACCTTTTCCTTAGGGCAAGAGGTACGGTCTGGCCGTATCTTGACTGGTCTGGCCAGTCAGCCCTAAGGGTAGTTTCCATTCTTTTTTTGAGCAAACGCAAGAGGTACGGTCTGGCCGTATCTTGACTGGTCTGGCCAGTCAGCGTTTGTTCATCGTCCTTCCCTTCACTACCCCCTTTTTTTTCTTAGATCCCCCTGTCCTCTAGAGGGGGATATTATCCTTTTTTTTTCTTTTTTTTCTTTTTTTTGGTCGCCACACAGCTATTAGAAATTTTAATGATGGTTAATTTTTAACTTTAAAACATCATTGATAGTACAAATTGGATTGAAAATTTTACGTAATGTTCGCAGAAAGCGTTTATCACCAAAAAACTTTTTTACCCAGGTGGTTTTTACGCTTCGTTAAAAAAATTAAATTTCCAGTTTAAGGGCTTTACTGTGGGACTGTATCTTAATTACAGCCAAGACTTAGCATCAAAATTACCGTGAAAAGCAATATACACCCAGACAGTCTGTCAACATGAAGAACTTACAATTCTAGGAAAACTTATATTTTCTCGCAACTTTGTATCTCCACAGCTAAAAAATGCTTGATTCAGGACCCCATTTTAAAAAAAAAGCCTCAATTTGCTCTTCAGCATTGCCGGATCCAGCAAATTGGCAACATTTTTTTGCCCTATTTGAACCTATGGAAATGTATTGATTCTTGGATGAGCTACGCTCTCCGACATGAATCGATTATTCAACATAATAGGTTTAAATGGAGGAAATCCGGCGTTGTCAAAATATTGGATCCATCTCTACTCTTTAGCATACACGGAAAAAAAAGAATTGCTGATTCAGCAAATCAATTGCTAAAAACAGTGAGTGCAATGTTTCAACGCAGATTTTACAACAAAAAAATGCTACTTTAACCACCCCCCATGGTTAAATTAGTTTACAATGTGGTTAAAGTAGCATTTTTTTGTTGTAAAATCTGCGTTGAAACATTGCACTCACTGTTTTTAGCAATTGAATTGTTGAATCAGCAATTTTTTTTTCCCGTGTAGTCCTTAAAATGTTTTACGTTAGAATGGGGACTTTTCGCAAACAGGCAGTTTTTAAGATGCTGAAAGGAAGATTCGCCTTGAAAGAAAGTTGATAAAATTGCCCCTACCTTTTCGACGATTTTGGGGCCGACGAGGCCAGCCTCGAGGGAATGAAGCTCCGGAGAGTTAAGAGAGTTGTGCGACTCGGCGTCGTAGAAGTCCTCGGAAATCTCGCTGTGGGCCTTGTCGTCTTGGCAGTCGCCGTTGAATTGCTTGAGGAGCGGCGGCGCCGGGGGTTGCGTCCCCATCTCCGCGGCCATCATCAGCTGCTCCCAGTAGGTCTTCGTCTTGTGCTTATTTTGGATGATCGAGTCGTAGACGATCTCGCCTGAAACACATTTAAACCAGTAAATTACTATTTTGCTATATTAAAAAAAATTACAATATTAAAAAGTATGAGCCGTTTTTGTGGCCACGTCTGTGTAGATTTGCTTTCTCATTGGTGGTCCTTGTCTGATTAACCAATCAGAAAAAGTCATCGAAAAACTTTTTTCCCATAAGAAGGAACCACTGTCCGCCGCGCGCGCGCGCGCGGCGTTCGCGTTGGTCCATCGCGGTCCATGACCGGAGTCTCTACTGCTCTACCTAAGGCATCACCACCGGTGACGTTTTCTGCTCACACAAGCACTGCCTCTTCCAAGCGACTTGCGAGTGAAAATTCATTTTAATTTTGTCCCAGTGCCTCATCGATCATGGAGACTTGAATAGAAACACTGGAAAAAAACACATTGGATCTAGAGTCCAGACTTTTGAAAACAATGACAAAAAAAATACTCTCGATCCAATCGAATTTTTGCTTAGATCAAAAGGAAATCCGCTCAAATTAAGAGACTGGTTCTTGATCTAAGCAAAAATCCGATTGAATCAAGAGTACTTTTTCTTGTCAATGTTTCTAAGAGTCTGGACTCTAGATCCACGCGTTTTTTTTTCCAGTGTACACTATTCATTGCATTTCTATTATTTTGTTTCATTCATTTAGGTTAGGAAAGATTATGAAACTGAATACATCAACCCCTCGAAAATTTTCTGAATTTTCTCAGACGGAGCATTCTGCAGGAATCACACAGAAGAATCCAAGCGATGGACGTAGAGCCAAAGCAAATTATTATCTCCGACTCAAAACTTCATTGTTTAAATCTACAATCGAAGAAATCAAGTAAAAATCTAACGGGCGATTTCAAAAACACATATAAACAATCAAAACGAAAAAATATGCATGTACACATGCGCTATTCTGGGCTGATATTCCAGATGATTTTTGGAACGTATCATTGATAAGACGATTGCCTCAACGACACGAAGTGAAGTATGAATGAGAGAATAGACGGATGCGGCGCTGAGCGGAAAAGCGCTGAGATGGAAAACAAAGCACCGGTCTACTCATTCATCAATGGACGTGATGAATGAACTGCTGCGTAAGGCTTAACAAGCGGAGAAATACGGCGCCGCGCCGGTCAGTAACTTCCGACAGAAATAAACACATCTTTCGGTTAAAGAGTCTTTAGTCGGCAATTAAAACTAAAACCGACTGCGACTGGGCAAAAAAAGAGTTAGGCGCCAAGAGTTCGGGCTCGGAGTGCAAAAGTTTTGGTGCTCTCGCGAGTAAGATTAACAGAGGCGGTCCAAGAATGAAAGAGAGAAACCGACCCACTCCCTTTCTTCAAAAAAAAAAAAAAAAAAACTTTTAGACACAAAATTGGAAAACTCGTTTTTGCTTCTTGATGATGTTACCTTGCTGGGTTTGAAAAAAGAAAAACAAATCTGATAGGAACGAAGGAAGGAAAATTAATTCTTTGAAATAAATTCAGCACTGTTATAAATGAACTCCGGAATATTTTCAGAAATTATTGTAGAATCATAAGTAAAATAGAGAGAAAAGTACAAAAGTAAAAAAAAAGTGGAATTTTCCACAATGTGGCAACGTAGAAAAATTGAGGATGCAAGGCATGGCCGGAAAAAGGCGGAAGATGAGGGAAAGGGAAAATAGAGCAACACAGTGCTGTTCATACTATTGTTGTTGCGTCCATTGTTTAAATGCTGATATGACTGATATCTCGAATCTCAGATTTGTTCAGATGAGCACTTCTCTGCAACTTGTTCCATCGCACGGGTCGTCGGTTTGAACAAGGACGTGGATTCACAAGTTCACATACCAGTAAACTCGCAGCAGAATACTGTACAGCTTTTGTCGGCCAAAAAAACGAGTTGGTTAAATAACGGCATTTTTGCGCGCAAATTAAAGCAATTATTGAGGATGACATTCTTTGAATGCCGCATACTTCTCAAAACATTACTTTGGCGGAGAGGGACCATTTTTTTCGTTGATTTCAGAAGTGCTGTAATAGAGGTCATTGATAGGTAGAGAGTTTGTCATTGAGTATAAAGAAGGTGATTTAGCAGAAGCCGTTGATTTCTTCATGAGTTTTTAACCATCAAAAACTCAGTTCGAACTTTCTTTCTGTCATAAGGATCTATGTAATTTCGAAATTTCAGACACATACTTCTGCGCCATATCCTCTAAGCCCCTCATATACCTTGTTAGTATTAGTAATGATAGTCCATCTACATATTATGTACCGTGCGAAATCTGGTAGCCAGTACTTGCCGTGTTATTCCGGCAAGCAGCCGTAAGTGCATTTTCCTTTAAAATCAGGCATGCTAGATTAGATTGGATTAGATAGATGGAAATTCTCTGTTTTAGAGGGGAAAATTTCCAAATGTTGCAGAAAATTCGTATTTTATCAGAGGAGATTTTCGATCACTTGAATGCTCATACGGTGTTTTTCCTTAACACGGTAAATTATCAAATGTCTAGTACCGGCTACTAGATTTTCTTGGGGGCGTATACAGCCATATTGTCCAGTGCGTGGCCACCACTTCGTAAACTTTTTCATCCGTATTATTCCAACCCATTGGCGGATCCAGCAAAGTGGCAACATTTTTTTTCCCCATTTAAACCTATGGAAATGTATCGATTCTTGGAGGGGACAGGTGCTCCGACAAGAATCGATTGTTTATCATAGGCTTAAATGGAGGGAATCCGGTGTTGCCAGATAGCTGGATCCGCCTCTGTGGACGTTCACCCCTCAAGGACTCAACATTCTAATTTTATGCAGAGAGATGACAATTAGACAGTTCAAATTGATGATAAAACAGGGGCCCTCGAAACGCACGTAACAAAAGAATTTCTCGATTCGTTACGGCGAAAAGAAAGTTGACAGCGTTTGGAGCGTTGCTTTGCGTAACCGGAGCGGCCGTCGTCGTGTCGTGTCGCGTCGGTGACAAACTTTATGCAAGACAAAGGAGTGCTCCGCCGATATCGAAACAGGTTCGAAAGTTACATCTCCTTCGGCGACGGATCGGCGGTGTCCCCACGTGAGGTCCAGCAGGAAAAAATGCTCCTGGGGTTTTTGAATGTTACGCCCAAAAAGCAGTGAGCGTCTTTTGCAACATAAACGACATGGGAAGCACTGTCTGTCCACAGAATTTGGCAGTGAGTCATTAGCTCGTACTTGCATTTATTATTGACCATTTAGATTTTGATAGAAAAAACATTTAGCTTTAAAATTGTGAGATATTTTTAACATAATTGAAAGTCATGCTTTGACAACTGCACAACTAGAAAAAACGAACTTTTCATTTTGCTGCTGCAACTTGATTTTTAGGTTTCAACGTAAATTCTATTTTTTTTCAAAAATTTTTTTCTCATTTTACATCGCGAAAGGATAGGCGTGAGTTCCGTTTGTTTCGAAAAACGCCTAAATCGATAGTTTAAAAGAGTTCATATTGCATTATCAAAGGACCAAAAAGTCTCATATTTTAGGCGATACGACGCTCTTTTTTGGAAAACTGGATAACTGTACTATGTGAAATATTTCCCGTTCGCCGACAATTTTTCGCGAAATGCAGTTTTTTTTCGTTTTTTGGATATGTTTTTTTCCGCAGCAAGATATCCTTCAAAACAATCGATTCAATTGACATAAAAGTAAGATTTGTGCACACTTAAGACAAATATTTTGAAATTGATAACTGTTGCATGATCGGAGAACGTCATTCGGTCCGCCTCAAAAATTAAAGAGAAAACAGCAAATATACGTAGCCTTTATACTCAGTTTAAATCAGTTCTGTTTCCTATTTAATTTCAGGCTGAAAATGCCTGGCTTGAGGTAAAGGGATATCGAACAGAGTCAGTCTTAACATTTTCGGAAAAGAAACCCGGGGTATTTAAAGGAGGAAGTCAACAACTCGACCGACTTAGAGAGGACGTGAGAAATGTGACTTGTTCGAAATGCGTTATATCCTCTTACAATGCATCTTTGTCCTCACTTCGAAGCACTTTGATGTCGATCCGAAAAATCAATCAGACGAATACAGGCAACGCGTCAGTCATTCAGGAATTACTTTGGTAAAACACGAAAAACGTGATCAATTACGAGCACTTTAGGAGGTTTTTCTCTCGAGCTGAATCCGATTCGGAACGCGAAGGAAACGGAAAAGAGAAAAATTTAAATACGAACCGAAAATAAACGAGGTCGAATTTCGAATGGGCGTTGACTGTTGAGCATCGACCCGTTGATCCCGCCGAAGATGAGAGTGAGTATTTATTATGATGCAAGAAAATCTTGCAGGATGCAACCCACGAATTCAATTATCTCCGAGACGGAGAACTTGTGAAGATTGTTTCCTGCGGGCTTTAGTCCCCTCTCTGTTAGCGTCTCGTTTCTCCCTCTCTCTGAAAATTTTCAATGGAATTTAGAAATCCACGAAATTTGGATTTATCGGGTATTGTGTGAAGATCACGACATACATCGGCTCTTAGACTATTACCAGTTACCTAACTGAAAACAGTGACTTTTCAATTTCACGTCAAAAGGATTTTTCCTTGAATCACGATGAAAATCGCTTAAATCAATCAAGTCTATGTTTCATTTATAAGAGTATCGATTCTTCTTGATTGAAGAGAAATTTCTTATTGGCAGAAAATTCAAGAATATATTTCTCCTCCAACCAAGACTCTCTTTTTTATCGTGCTGTTTCAAGCCTACGTGTGAACTTCAATTGGAAAAGGGACTTGGTTTTGGTGGAATTTTTCAGTAGGGCTGTGATCGTAGAATGCAAGAAGAAAAAAATCCTGTTTGTAATCGTCCAATAGTAAAGGGACCGCAGTACCGAAGAATTCAAAATTATATGATAGTCGCCATTTCAAGCAGGAGTATTTCACGAAAAAAGAGCGAAGAGCGTGTACAAATATACTAACTGAAGCGTCTTTATGAGTATGACGTTCGTTGGTTAGCCGTTCAAACTATACAATGGGGGAAAACAATTCCA